AACTTAATAGTGCACACAAAGGCCTTGGAATACAAGAATAAGCACTACTCCAAAATAGTAAATGGAAAGAGGTCATCAAAATCAGGCCCGAAATTTAAAAATATAGAAGCTAAATAAATAAATAAATAAAGGAATAAAATAAAAAACTATCAATCAATGAAACAAAAAGTTGCTTCTTTGAAAGGCTCAACAAACCTTTAGCCAAATTAACCAAAAGAAAGAGAGGGAAGACCTAAATTAATAAAATTAGAAATGAATAAGAGCTGGGTGGTGGTGGTGTATGCCTTTAATCCCAGCCCTCATGAGGCAGAGCCAAGTGGATCTTCATGAGTTCGAGGTCAGCCTGGTCTACAGAGCAAGATCCAGGAAAGGCACAAAGCTACACAGAGAAACCCTGTCTCGAAAAAACGAGAGAGAGAGAGAGAGAGAGAGAGAGAGAGAGAGAGAGAGAGAAGAGAAGAAAAGAAATGAATAAGAAGAGCTTTTTTAAAACACTGAGGAAATTCAAAGAGTCATAAGGATATATCAGTAACAAACATACCAAGAGAGGAATCAGGGAAATGATGCCCTTCACAATAGGCTCAAAAATATTTTGGAATAATCTAACCAAGGAAATAAAAAAGACTGTACAATGAAAATGTTAAGAGCCTTTAAGTCCAGTATTCAGGAGGTAGAGGCAGGCGGATCTCTGAGTTCAAGGCCAGCCTGGTCTACAGAGCGAGTTCCAGGACAGCCAAGGCTACACAGAGAAACCCGGTCTCAACCCTGCCCCACCCCCACACACGATATACACACACACAAATGTTAAAGTCTGAAGAAAGAAACTGAAAAAGATACCAGAAGGTGGAAATGCCTCACTTGCTCATAGATCCTTCGGATTAATATTGTGAAAATGGCTACCTACCAAAAGCAATCTATAGATCTAATTGTTGGGGCCAATCCACTTGCAGATGTCCGACAACTTAGCTATCTAGTGGTCGTTGGGTTAGATTGCCAGGATTTGTGACCCAATATCTGAGAGAATAATTGACTTTGTGGTCAGTCAGAAGGTTGTGTCTTGTACTCAGTGGTCCATTTAAATAAGCTGGGTGATCAGTCCACAGTACCCAACTTCCTTAGTGTTCCCAAAAGTAGTTTTATCTAAAATTCTGGTTTGATCACTAAGGCTCACACTTCTACCACCTTGTCATCTTCTGTGAGGTTATGAAAATCCTAGAACATATGAGGGATGGTGGTCGTTTCTGAAAAGGACAACTTTGTGGCCTGCAAGGATGAGAGTCTGCATTCATCTGCATGGGGATCCACCCGAAATCAGAAACTTTCCTCTATGCGACACCATGAGGGGAGTGGAAAGATGGCAGGCTGCCATGATGGTTTCTTCCTTTTTTTTATCTGAAAAGGTAGAGAGCTGAGCTTCCAGCTTCACTCTTTGTTTTGCAGCCTGAGCAACCTTGAGCATGAAGTCTGAGCAGCACATGCATGCAGTCTGAGCAGCCTATGCAGCCTGAGCATGCAGTCTGAGCAGCACATGCATGCAGCCTGAGCAGCCTATGCAGCCTGAGCATGCAGCCTGAGCAGCCTATGCAGTCTGAGTATGCAGCCTAAGCATGCAGCCTGAGCATGCAGCCTGAGTAGCACATGCATGCAGCCTCAGCATGCAGTCTGAGCAGCCTATGCAGCCTCAGCATGCAGTCTGAGCAGCCTATGCAGCCTCAGCATGCAGTCTGAGCAGCCTATGCAGTCTGAGTATGCAGCCTGAGCATGCAGTCTGAGCAGCCTATGCAATCTGAGTATGCAGCCTGAGCATGCAGCCTGAACAGCCTACACAGTCTATGCAATTCTTGAGCATGCGGTTGGCCCAGCAAGTTTTTCTAGAGCCACCTCCGAAGCATGTACAAACGTGTTTTTTGTTGGATTCTAAATGGCCACCAGAAATCTTTGATTTCTTCCGTACATCCCTGGATAGCCTTCTGTGACACAACTATCCTGACTGAATCTTCCTAATCCTCTGCTTCACTTCTTCAAGAGAGGAGAAAGCACCACACACACACACACACACACAGAGACAGAGACAGAAAGGGAGGGCAGAAAGGGAGAGAGAGAAAGAGAGAGAGAGAGAGAGAGAGAGAGAGAGAGAGAGAGAGAGAGAGAGCAGTCAATCCAAGTCAATATGCCTGAGCTCCTGAGTTTACACGAGCTGATAGCTATCATTAAGTTTTATCTCTCACTTACATTGGGCTGTCCAGCATTAGGGTATTTGACAGCAACACTTGCGACATCTGCCTGTTTGTGTTCCGTAAGACCCAGTTCCTGGAGCCTCCTTTTATTAGAACCCAGAGAAAATGGAATGGAGTAGGAAAGGCAAATCCCAAAGCCCCCAGAAAGCCAGGTGCAAAGCGTTGCAGTACACTCCATTCCCACAAGAGGGCAGTTTCCTTCATCTTTGATAAAGAGCAGTGGGAGCCAGGCGATGGTGGCACATGCTTTGAAGGCCAACTAGGGAGGCAAAGGCAGGCAGATCTCTGTGAGTTTGAAGCCAGCCTGGTCTAGAGCATGAATTTCAGGACAGCCAAAGCTACACAACAAAACTCCGTCTCATAAAACAGAGAGAGATGGGGGGGGGGGGAGCTTTAATGCAACAATCCCTGTTTAGCTAACAATAAATGATGTCTACTTGTACCAGGGGCATACGCATGAATGTGTATTCTCTCCCTGCTTTCCTCCATTCTCTTATTTAAGTCCCCTCTGGCTACAGAGGGTCATAGCTCAGTGCCATATACTGACACACGTCCTTGATGGCACCCCCCATTCCCCATCTCCCCCTCATTTCTGAAAGAAGGTGTTTTCATTTTAGTTTGGGTTTTAGCTCAGTCACAGCAGCAGTGTGGCGTGGTTCCCAACCCCCACCCCCTTTTATTCTAGGCCTCTTTGAAGCCCTGTTATGTTAACCAGTGTCCAGTCAGGAAACAAATCCCATCAGCAATTTAAATGGAAACTTTTAAGAATTATTAACTCATGGAAAATATAAAAAAGCTTTCCACGTATAAAAAAGCATAAAAGAGATTCTAAGAAGCTCACCAGTGGTCAACTGAAAAAGAAGTTACTATGATGAGGACAGATTGCCAGGTGAAGGACTAAGCCCCTTGGGGGGATTCTCCTCAAAGCTGAGATCCAGGCCTTTACTGAGAGAACATGGTTCTGTCGAGCTGATGATGTCACGCAGGCTGATGGGAGCAAAGAGCAGGACTAACTGGTTATTGCCGGAAGGTGGGTCCACAGAGTGGCCTTTTACGGCTGACAGGTGGGGTGCCTGGAGCAGGTATGTCAGAGCAGCTCTAGTGTGGGGGTGCTTGGGGGTTCAGTGGAGCTGTGCTGGGGAAGCAACAACAACTAACTTTCTCCCAGGTCTGACTTTAGGGATCCGGGAAACAGAGTCCCAGGCTAGGAAGGAGCCTTCTCTATGAACATCTTCAAAGGGAGGGAGAACGTTTGGGAGTCAGCAATCTGTTGGTGCCCCCAAAAGAAATTCGGGTACCCAAGGGCTCAGAGTAATAGTTTTGCTTTTACGGGGTCCCCAGGTTTCTTATGGTAGGTTGGGATATGAAAGGCTGAGATATGGAAAGCCAGGGTTCTGTGTGAACTTGGAGGGAAACTTCCTTCCAAAGAAAGGTTCTGAAGCATGGGGCCAACTTCCAAGACCCTAGAAGTAGACCATGAACAAATGGGACAAATGTCTCTGGTTATGTCCACTGGGAAATGCTGCAGTGACTGCTTCAGATTGAGGCTCCCTGTGGAAACTCTCGGCCTGGGAGTCGCCGAGGACAATATTGCTCCAGGAGATAGTTTCTTACGCTAACCCAGGAGCCAGGTCACTGCACACTAACATAGAGGGAGACCTGTGGGCTCTCCCCAAGCACTGAGGCTTCCCTAGAAAGGATGGACACATTTAAAGAGAGAAACGCCCTCTGAGATATAAGGGATTCCTTTTCCTCTTCCCACGTCCTAAGACAAGTCTGAATTTGTTGGCTTCCCCACCAGGTGTCGCTGTCTACTCATTAAAAAAAGACTAGGATTGCTTTTTTTATTTTTAATCAATTTATTTATTTGAATTTTAGATAGGGTCTCACAGTGTAGCTTTGGCTGTCATGGAATTTGCTATTTAGACCACGATGTCCTCGAACTCAGAAAGATCTGCCTGCCTCTGCCTACCTATTGCTGGGACAGCACCCCCACACGCCCGCCCAAAATTGTCTTTTGAGGACAAGTGGCAATCCTCCAGTCTCAGCCTCCCAAGTGCTTAGAGCTCCCCGTGCCCCGCAAACGCTCTGAGTTGGTTGTTAAACACACCAGTGCACCCCTAGTCATAACGAGCATTTAGTAATACTGATTGAGAAAGTGAGGCCCAGCAGTACCACACTGAATGAGAGAGTTTGGAGATGGTAAACTGCTGGAGAGTAAGTAAGGAGGGTTGAGATGATGAAAAGGTGCTTTATCTGTCCCCAACAATGTGTTAAATGTTGCCAGACTGAAAAATCCGAAGATTTGGAACCCCAGACTTCCCAACTCTCTCGGGAATCCATAGCCCACCAGGGCCTGGGCACAGGACAAACGTTCGGCGTGGTCAGGGTTTCCTGGCTGGAGGCCCGCAAGTGGACACAGATCCGCAAACCAGGATCGCGAGAGGAACACAGCTCCCCAAAGACTTTAAGCCAACTGGGGCATCCACACCCTGGTCCAGCGGAGCGACAGGTGGGTCCGCAGGACCCGGATGGGGTGAGGGGTGGGGCATCTGGGTTGGGGTGAAACTGCACCCAGCTGCCCTGCACCCGCCCTTCCGCTCCCCCTCCCCGATCCTTTTCCCTCTCCTCCCTCCTCCTCCCTCCCCCCTTCTTCTCCCTCCTCCTCCCTTACTCCCCCCTACTCCCTCCCCTCTGTCCCTCTGCCCCTCTGTCCCTCTGCCCCTCTGCCCCTCTTCCCATCCTCCCTCGAGCCCGTGGGCACTTCCGGGACCACTCTGGGCGTCACGGAGGTCTCAGCATCTGTGCTCCTGCTGAGCCAGGCTGCTGGTTGGCAGGGTGTCCCCGCGTCCTGGCGGTGGGGAGAGTAGAGTGAATGGAGCCGGTGCTGCACAGAGTGCACAAGAAAACAGTGAGTTTGGGAGAGGCGAGTCTAGAGCCTCAGATAACTGCTGTACCTTCCCTGAGGCTAGGATCAAGCTCTTCGTTTCAAGGGTAACCCTTGCCTTGTCCCGTCGTCCCCCCACCCACCGCGCGGGCGCGCACGCTGCCCACGTAAAACTGCAATGAGATGAAGGGAGATTAAAGGTTGGAGAGCCCAAAGATAGTCAAGACTGTAAACTGGACCCTCCTAGAACTCGGGATCCCCCAAGGGCTGCATCTAGGTGCTCACCTCCAAAAATGAGGCACTTCTTTGTTTTTCCAGACAGGGTTTCTCTGTGTAGCCCTGACTGTCCTGGAACTCTCTGTAGACCAGGCTGGCCTCGAACTCCCAAAGATCCGCCTGCCACTGCTACTGCCTCCCCAGTGCCAGGATTAAAGGTGTGCGCCATAACCCCATACCTTTGGGAAGTGGGGGGAGGGGGCCGGGGGCACTTCTTAAGACCCCAGGAACAGGAAAGAAATTGGTTGGATATGTCCTCCAGCCCAGGAATTTTATTTTGGTTTAAGACAAGGTCTAACCACAGATCTACCCTTGGCTGTCTGGAACTCCCTATGTAGACCAGGCTGGCCTTAAAGTCACAGAAACCCACACGAGTATTGGAATGAAAGCCACGTGCCACCACACTGACCCAGAAATCTTTTTGAAGGCTCTAGTCCTACCCAGTTCGGCTTCTAACAACAAGATTTGCCCTGCAGTTAATTTGTACCACCCCTTTGCCCATGACTACTCAGGTGTGGTTACCCATCTGTGGGAAAGGAGTAGAACACACTGTCTCTGAGGGGGAGGGATGCTACAGGATCTGTTACCTGCTTTCAGAACCTGGCCCTCAGGGCCCTTCAGAGAACACCTGCGGCTGACCATCAAGGATCAGGGGAGACTTGTCCAGAGACTTCAGGGGGAGAAGCAGGGGCTGCCCCTCCCCCAAGCCGTCAGTATGAACTCCATGGGGACCCAAGAACAAGAGAGCGTTGGACCACAATCAGCCAGGCAGAGCTGGTGGCGGGGTGGGGAATGAGGGGGTGAGGGGGGACACGTGGTAAAGGTTAGTTCCTTTTTCTCTGCCTTCAGTTCATGAGATCACTGGGAGGTCAGGCACCAAGCTAAAACCCCTGGGGATCAGGACAAGGCTGGGCCTGTTCCCTAAGGGTCACAGGTGTTTCCTCTTTTGACAGCAATCACCAGAACCTCGCCTCCCATGTCCTCTAATTTGTCCCTTTTTTTCTCCCAGGATCTCGTGGTCATCGTGACTGTGGTTGGCGTGTTGAATGTTCTTAACTCATATTGCAGAGGAAGGGAAGCCAGACTTAGAGGAAAATGAGAGGTCGGAGGGCAGGGGCAGAAGTAGGGGACAAACAGACGACGTTCACCCCATACCCCAGCCCTAAGGATCGAAGTTATAGGCAATGGAACAAAAGTAGTCCGCATCGTCCTCTGGCTGCACAGGGCTGATGGTGAGCACACAGACATTGTGGGCCACGTCCGTGGCAGCTGAGAACCTGTCCGGAATGTCATCAGGCCGATAGTGCTCCTCTTCTGAGCAATAGTAGAGAAGATGGGGAGCGCTACCTGGGCGCTGCTGATACCAGGACACACCAAAGTCCCCAATGGTGGCATGCTGGGAATTGATTGTGCAGCCGAGTTGAGCCACTTGGCCCGGGAAGACCAGCAGTGCGTCAGGATGGGTCAGGGTTGGCCGGAAGACTGAAAGATACAGACCCACTGAGGGCTAGCCTGGGCCCCTTCCTGCCTTGCTATGAATATTTTGTTAGATACCCCCACCCCAAAAGATTCTCACTCCCATAATTTTCATAGCCCAGTGCCATAGGATTGGCCCCGGATGGAGCATGGAGGACCTGGTTCCACGAGACTTATGCACTCTCTACAACTCTATTCTCCTCTATGAATGAGGGGTAAGTGACCCCTAAATTAGCATTATTGTCATGTCTCCAAAAATCCACATGCAGCAGAGCCTAGTATTCAAGCATGAAATGGAACCTTCTATGCCCCTCTAGTACCTACTCTCCCCTACCCTGTGGACCCTTGCCCCTCAATCTAACAGCTGTTCTAAACCCTGGCCACAGGCTAACTGCCCCCAGAAACCTTCCAGGATGCATAACCATCATCTTAGTTTCAAGCTTCTGGCCACAGAGGATGGTCTTAAAGGATCTATGGAGAAGGGGACTGTCCATATTAGCTTCCCCTGTGAGAAACAAAGGTGACTAGTCATCTCTTCAGAGACTCTAAAAGGGTCAGAGTGTCAGGAGACCCACAAATGGAGAAAGCAAGATCCACACAGGAAAGTGCCTTGCCCCCCGGTCCTGGACAGAGCTGCCTGGAGCCTAGTCTCCACTCCACCTCTATGCCCCGTCCTAGGATCCACCCCCACTAACCCTATTGACTTGCTTCTTTGTGTGGGTTTCCTTGAGCTAGGGCCAACCCCCACCTCACTCCCAGAGGAGTCTTACCTGCCAAGAAGGCTCCAGTCAGGAGGAGAGGCAGGCAACCAGGGCAGGCCATGGCCAGAGGCAGAAGGCTGACCTAGAGTTGTTCTGCTGGGCTGTGCTCTGGGTGCTTGTGGTTACAGGGACGGGGAAGCCTCTGGACCACAACAGAGCATGCAAATCAGCCCACTGATTGAAGAGGGAAGTGTGGGTCTGGGGCCAGTGTCGGGCTCTGCCTTCCAAATGTCCCGAGAGCAGAGCCGGTGGGAGAGCAGAAGTTCTTCACATCCAGTTCCCGTCCAGTTCCCGTAAGTCAGAATTCCCCAGAGAGCCCCCTCACACTCTTTTCTAAGTCCTTAACAATGGCTAGCCACTAGAACAGTGGTTCTCAACCTGTGGGTCAGAACCCCTTTGGGAGTGTTAAGCAACCCTTTCACAGAGATCACCCAAGACCATCGGAAAACACAGATATTTACATTACGACCCAAAACAGTAGCAAAATTATAGTGATGAAACAGCAATGAAAATAATTTTATGGTTGGGGGCCACTACAACATGAGGAGCTGTATTAAAGGGTCTCAGCATCAGGAAGGTTGAGGACCACTGCTCTAGAATGTACTCACAAAGGCCCACGTGTCCCCAGCTTGACACTGTTTGAGGGTAAAGGCCTAATGGGACGTCTTTCGATCAAGAAGACTATGCCCTTAAAGGGTCTAGAGGGGCCAGAGATTCATCTCTCTTGCTACCCGGCCCGCCATGACCTTGCTCTACCCCATACGCTCTGCCATGATGCTTCCATGGCATGCTGCCTTACCATGACAGGCCCAGAAGCAATGTGCTATGCACTGAAACTCCAAACCTATCAGCTAAAACTAACCTTTCCTCTCTAAGTTGATTATCTCAGATAGTTGCTACTGGCATGAGAAATTCATACAACCTCCCAAGGAACAGTTGTTCTGGTTCCTACCACATTAGATTAATTTTGTTTGCTGTAGAAATTCTCCTTTAAGTAGAATATATATGTATGTATGTATGTATGTATGTATGTATGTACGCACAGTGGTGCATGCCTTTAATCAGTTGGTCACGTGACTCTGAGACCGGAAAGGAGACCAAAACAACAGTACAGGCAAAGGCAACTCTCAGAGCTTAAGGCTCCCATCTTACACTGTCCTTCCTTCCGGAGTGTGTCTCTAGGTGCCACCGACTTCACACGTAACGCATCCCGGTTGTGTTCTGTAGGACATAAGTCCTCACAAAGGAGCCTATGTGCAAGTAAGCTCTGGAAATACTGCTTGCTTCCACAGTACTGTTCTGAGGCCTGAGATGGCTTTTAAAATGTTGTAACATTTAAGATGGGCACAGTGGCACCCACCTCTAATCCAAGCACCTATCAGGCTAAAGCAAGAACTCTGAAGGAGAAAAGAAATAAACTGGTGTCTATACTTTTTTTCCCTAAGGGACTTACCAATAAACTTGCTTCAAAAATACTAAGTTATATATCAAGCTAAAATTTAGCTAAAAGAGCATGGTTCTGCCAGGCAGTTTAGAGAGACAACCCTGGCTGACACCACCAATTAAACCCCGTGCCTCTATCAGAAAGAGCATCATTCTGCCAGCCAGACAGGATGATCCTGGTTAACAGCTGCCCAGGAAATGCAGCTGTGGTCTGCCTCGTGATAACTCTGGCAATAATTTTACATTGGAAATCTCCCCATTCATCCAAACAACCAAACCTTAGGATTTCTGTCTCTGTTAAAGATGTTTAATTGCTCAAAGTGTAACTCGGGGCCATGAAACTATAGAAATAGAGAGGGATTTCTGTTCAAGGCTCGTTCCCTTTTGTGCATTAGCTGGAACCAACCATGCACTATTATTAAAGAGTTTTTCCATCACTTATGGAAGTGGTGGAGTGATTTCTCACCGGGAAGGCAGATTAATTCTGTAACATCATGAATCAAGACCATCTGGGCTACATACAAAACCCTGTCTCAAATAACAATAACAACAAAAAAGGACTGTGAAAGCCACAGCAACCACAGAGTCACAACAAGCCCGCTCAGTCCTGATGTGTATTTTACAAATGGAAATAGTGAGGCTAATACAAAAGAAAAGTGTTTGTCTAGGGGGAAAATGGGTCAGTGGTGAGCTAGATGGAGGACCCAGATTTCTCCCGAGTTACCCATCGAGAAATGTGCCCGCAGAAGGCAGAGCAAACAGCCTGACCACGCAGGGACCCTTCTGACACTGTGCATGGAGCGTCTGAATGGAGGCTCAGAGAGAGAACACCATGCCAAAGCAGAGAGACGGGAGCCATGTGAGAGAATAAAAAAGAAAGAATGAGGAATCGTTTTTTAAAAAAAATCAATTAAGCCTGGCGGTGGTGGCGCACGCCTTTAATCCCAGCACTCGGGAGGCAGAGGCAGGCGGATCTCTGTGAGTTCAAGGCCAGCAGAGGTCTACAGAGCGAGATCCAGGATAGGCACAGAGCTACACAGAGAAACCCTGTCTCGAAAACAACAACAACAAAATCAATGAAAGGATAACCTCAGAGATGGAAACCGAAACCAAACACTGCATATGAGAATGTAGAACCCAGGAGAGAGCCAGGGAGGAGGAGGAGAGACAGGCAAAGGTCTGCGGAGAGAAAGCCAGAGCTGCTCAGAGAACTGGGATTAGAGCTCAGTGTGGAGCACTTAGCATTTGTGTCCCTGGATACAGAAGAAGTGTGGGGGTAGGGGTGGGGGGGTGGTAGCAGGGACCCTAACTAATAGTGAGAAATCACAAGCAGGTGCTTCTGGCCTGCCACAGCTCTAGGAGGCCCAGGGCCAAAAGCAAAACAACACCAACCGAGTACACCCTGGAAAATACGCGAGCACGCCCATATAAAGTTGAATTCACTTGCATTTCTCCCGGTGGTCCTCACTGGACCAGAGAAATGAAAACTGCCCCCACAAGAACAAGCAGACAAAAGTTTCTACTGGCTTTATTCATAAAAATCTCCCCAAATTCCAAAGCAACCGCAGGTGAGCGAGTGGGTCAACTCCTGGCCACACTGACGACAGAGTACACTTCAGCAATAAGAGGGAAACTACCACTGACCCCCACACACAGCCTGGATCATGCTGAGTGAAGAGACCGTGGGCCGTATGCTCTGAGCCCACTTATGAGGCCCCATTGAAAACATGCGTAGGAAACAGCTATGAATGGCAGGCACTAGGGCTGACGACATGAACCTCAACAGCATCTAAAGATGGGGGACTTGGGGAGCTAACACTGCAGGAGGGATATAGCATGCTGTAGCACACTAGGAGCCATTCGGGGAGCCTTGAAGCAAGGGGAAGTATCTAAAGGTGAACTGGATTACATAAGGTATTTGGAAACACTAATCCTTGGCTACAAGGATCAATAACAAGGGTGGCCCGTGTCCAAGACTAAACACACAGTTGCTGGGTGGATGGGATGGCCTTGCAGGAGTGTTTCTGTGTAAGGGTGTGGTGGCCTTTGTGCAAAGTTGTGGCTGTGGCAGTCTTTTGTGGTTAGTTCTTGTCATTAAATGTACATGCATGAAATCCCCAACGGTAGTCATCCAGCTTTAGTTACTTGGAGTAGGAGGATGGAGGCTAAGGACTATTTCTCTCTCTCTCTCTCTCTTTCTCTCTCTCTCTCTGGTTTTTCAAGACAAGGTTTCTCTGTGTAGCCCCCAACTGTCCTTAGAACTCACTCTGTAGAGCAGGCTGTCCTCGAACTCAGAAATCTATCTGCCTCCGCCTGCCAGGTGCTGGGATTAAAGGCGTGCGCCACCGCTGCCCAAAGGTTAAGAACTATTTTTAGTCTCACAAATCCAAAGAGTCACCTATGGAAAGGGGGAATGGAAACATTCTGTATCCTGGCTGTGGCCATCAGAGACTTGTCAAAACAGTGCCAACAAGATGGCTCAGTAAGGAAAGAAGCTTGTCACCTAGCCTGACAACCTGGGTTCAATGCCCGGGACCCACAAGGTGGAAGGGAGAGAACGAGTTATCCTCCGACCGCCACACATATTCACTGTGGTACACGCATGCATACAAAAACACACACAGAATCAATAAGTGTAAGCGGTGTTTTCTAACTTGAAAGCCTTCCAAAGGGGAACATAAATTATACCTCCATAAACATGCCTAACAGAAGACAAGAGGAAACAGGAACGGAAGAAAATAATTGGCAGGCTGGGAGAGAGGAAAAGAAAGCCACACAGGAAGAGGTCATTGGGTTAGTGGGGCCTGCAGAGATTCGTGCGGGAGGGTGCTCACATCCCTGCAGCCTGCACACTCTCTCTCTCCCTGGTAGGAGACCTGGTCTCTGAAACAGAATCCCCGGCATCCTAGGGACCTCCGTCTGGAGCCTCCGATATGGGCCCGACCAGAGCTCCCCCTGCAGGCCCGCCCTAGTAGGTCCAGTTACTAGGATACTGGGGATAAAGCATTTCCTGCCTAGATGTCTTGGCAGCTCCCACTGCCATGGAGACCTTCGGGAGCTGAAGGAGCTGCGGACACCCAGAAAGCAGCACAAGAAAAAGGAGGCCAGTGGTCTTGAACTAGCTGAGCGAGTGGGTGAGCAGGGGCCAGACCCGAGCCAGGGGCCACGCCCACCTACCCAGCATTCCTCACGCGCGCACAGTTCCCAGGTGGGAGCTGTGGAAGGAATCAGGAGGAGGGGGTTCAAAGACCCATGATCTGTCTGTCTCTTTCCTTCTTCAGCCATGTTTATCACTGTGATGTTTGGAGGTAAGCAGGGTCCTCTGTCCCAGAACACAGGGGCCATACTGAGTGTTATTCGTCCCTCTACCCTAGAGACCTAGGAGGGAGAGATACAGGCTAGGAGTGGGGGATGGAAATTCGAGAAAGCTGTTCTTATGGGGAGGCAAAGCAAGGCCAGGACAAGGGGCAGGTCTGGGAGGACTTCAGCTGTGGTCCAGAATCCTCTATAGAGCAAGCGATGGATGGAAGGGTCTCCAGTGTGGTGGTCCGAGCAGCATTTGCCTAGGGTATTAGGCCTGAAGCACAGTACTAGCCCCATAATCCTAGTGCCATCTCTAGGCATGGGAGAGAAAATGCTCCTAGTTGGGAGAGGCTGTGATGTCCTACTCAACTACACCCCTCTCTTAGCTGGTTGTCAGGTGCTGGTGAACACCTGGTGTAGCCTGGTGACCTTCATTATGCATCTGAAACAGAAAGTTCAGGTCCCCCCAGAAGGTGAGGAGACCTGGGGGCCCTGGGGAGGAAGGACTGAGGGTCCCATGCCGGGGTGCAGGCTGCCCAGTTTATTCCCATTTCTGCCCAGTAACCACTGCTCTTCTGGCTGAAGACGGGCATCTGGTGAGGCTGGAAGAGGGGATCGCCCAGGCCCCCTCCATGGCCTGTTCCCTGCTACAGGAGCAAGGGACCTATGTCCTGGTACAGATCACTGGTGAGTAGGACCCAAGACTCTCTGTTGCAGCTATGTTGACTATAAGGGAGGAACAGCAGGCCACAGACCAGCTGAGATCCTGTTCAGCCTCAACCTTGGCTGGGTCCTATACCCAACCATCCCTATCCAATGCCTGTCCTAACCCCCAGCCTGGGCCAGGAAACAGACACAGGATAAAATGTAGGATGGGGACTACGAAGACAGTTTAGGGTCATTTGCTGTCTCTATACTCTTCAGGAGGGAGAGATGGGACTCCTGCCCACTATGAGTCCCTACTGGACAACCTAGATGACCACCGTCCAGAGTTAGCAGGTACGTATCAAGGTAAGTGGGGGTGGAGGCACATCTATGCAGCTCCCAGCAACGAGATTCCTGGGCTTTCCAGAGGAGCTGTGCTGGCTCTCCGGCTTTCCAGCTACAAGCAATAGTCAGAGAAGACGCCCCGGCATTCGGCGCGGCCACCGGGAACAAGGCCCCCCTTCCAGGTCTCGAAAGGTGGTCTCCCTACCATCCAGAAACCGCTAGCTGGAGCCTGAGCCAGGTACAGAAGAGTTATGGAAACTCAGGAAGATCCAAAATGGGGGAAGCCCTTCTTGAGAGACACGTGTGCTGAGGGGTACAGCTTTCACACACCTACACACCCAGGACAGTACACACCGTACCTAGAGAGAAGTCCCACTATACTGCTGGAGTATAAGGATCCTAAAGGCAGACATGCTACGAGTTTAAGAAGCTGGTACACACTTCTCCAGCCTGGCACAACGTAGGTGCTCAATGCACAGCTGCTGCCTGTGAAAGCAGCAACAGTGTGTGATGAAGCCGTCTGTGCTGGGGTCTGAAGGGCCTGCTTCCGTCCCAGCAGGTCCTATGACCTGGTGCGCCACAGCCAAGTGGCCCAGCTGGACTTGGATCCAAGGGGACTGGCCCTGACCTCGGCATTATGATCAACTGCACACAGACCGCAGTCCAGCGGGACTCCTCTTTCAGAATCTGGCATTACTAAGAAGTTGCATCAGCAAGAAGGGAAAGGTCACAGACAGGATGTGAGAGCCCCTCCACTCCCCCCCCCCCATTTGAGTGCAGAGAAAAAGATCCAAGGACAAAAACAGGAAGAGTGAGCGGGGCTGATGGTCTGTGTGGGGCAGACAGTAGGCTCCTCTTGAGGTTTCAGGTCCCAGGGACTAAGACCTCTCCCCCCACTTCAAGAGATCCCTAGAGGGATCTGTCCTTGGCTATTTACAATTTAGATTATAACAGGGTTCCTCCCACCCCACCCTAGAGGTTCAAGGACAGCCCAGGGTTACACAGCAGGAAATATTCTCTCTC